GCGGACGCGAGCCGGGCGTCGGCCATGCCGGGCCTCGAGGCGCGGCTGCACCGCCGACCGGCTTGGAGCTCCCGGCCGAGGTCGGCCACCTCTTGACCCAAGCTCTCGGCCCTTCCCTCCTCCTCCCGAAACCTCCGCTGGAGTCGAGAGTAATCGGCTTGCAGCAGAGACAGCTGGTCCTCCTTGGCCAGCAGTTGCTGGATCTTCTCCTCCAACGCCCGAACGTGCACTTCCCGATCTCGGCTTTTGTCCTCCTCCGCTTTGGCCCGCTGGCGAGTCCGTCTTGTCATTTCCTCCACGGTCTCGGTGAGGGAATTGGCCCTCTGCTCTTCGGTCCTGAACTTTCTCTCCAGCGCTTCGTAGCGATCCTCGGTCTTCATCAGGTCCCCCTCGACGACCTCCAGTCGCGCCAGTCGGCTTCGAAGCGTCTCCCTTTCCAGCGCGAGCTCTTTGATTTGGCCCGCCTGCGTTTCGCGCGTCTCTCGCGCCTCCTCCAGGGCCGCTTTCATCCGGCGCAGGTCGGCGTCGAGCTGCCGACGTTGCTCCCGCTCCCTCTGAAGTTGACCTTTCAGGTCGCGGTTCTCCTCGCCGGCTCTGGTCGCTTGGACCTCCGTCTCGGATTTCAACCGGAGGAGTTTCTTGCTCTCGTCGATCAGCTTCTCCGAGACTCGGGTCACCTCGCCTTCCTGGGCTTTCAACTTGCGACTCAACTCCTCTCTTTTTTCTCCTTCCGCTTTCAGTCTCTCGGCCGCGTTCCTCCTGTCGTCGGCCAAAGTGACGGCGAGGGACTTGAGCTTGGCGAGCTCCTCTTTGAGGACGATCTCGGTCCTCTCCAGCTCGGCCTCCCGGGACTCCAGCTCGCGGAGTCGTCGTCGGAGCTTCTCCAGCTCCCCGTCGGCGCGGCCGGCCGATCGTTTTTCCTCCTCCAGCTCGGCGCGGAGCTGCGAACATTCCGCCCGGCCGCTGCCGAAAGCCCCCTGCGGTTTCTCCAAGTTGTCCGTTCTCCTCCGCAGCTCGTCCAGCTGCCGCCTCAGCTCCCGGCCGCCGTTCTCCTCGCGGCGCAGCCTCGCCGCGAGCTCCCGGCACCGAGTCTCGGCCCGGGTTATCTTCTCGTCCTCGCCTTCCATCTCCGACGGCGTCTTCCGGAGGGTTTCCGGCTCGGCCGCCGGGCGGGAGTCGCCGCGCCGGCCTTCGCTGATCTCGTCCCTCGGATCCCGCGGGTCTTTGTCGGATCGCCGCGGCCGCGCGTCGCTCCGCCGCAGCTCTTCCATCTGCTCGGCGAGCGCGGAGAGCTCCTCCCTCAGCCGTCGGCTTTGCGACTCTTGTTGGGAGAGTTTGGCCGCCAGCCCCTCCCGCTCAAGTTTGGAAGTCGCCGCCCCGCGCTCCAGCTCGGCCTCCAGCCGGAGCGCCCTGCGGCCGTCCCGCTCGGCGACGGCGCCGACCTCCGCCAGCCGCCGCTCTTTGTCCCGCAACTTGCCGGCGAGCTCCCGGACCTTCCGGCTACGCAGGTCCAGTCGCTCGGCGTTCAGCCGCCGCTCCTCCGCCAACATGAGGGCCAAGGACTTGAGCTGGGCCAACTGGGCTTGGAGCTTCCCCAGCCGCCGGCTGTGCTCGTTGTCCTTGCGGGCCCGGCGGGCCTCTTCCTGCTCCAAGAGTTTTTTCAGTCTAAAGACAAAGGACGGGGGGGACTTAAGGTTCGCCACCGGGGACCCGATCGCACCGCGCCCCCTCCGGTCCTCTTTGCACTCACCTGTCTCGCTCCTGCTCCAGCAGGTTGGTGAAGTCGTCGCTCTTCGCCATGAAGTCGGCGTGCTTGCTCTTCTCGCCGTCCAGCTCGGCGACGGTGCGCCGGTGACATTTCTCGGCCAGAAGAAGCTGCTCCAGCATGCGGCGGTACGTCTCCCTCTGCTTGTCCTCGAGACGCTCCAGCTGAACGCCGACGTTTGTTTAGCTTCCGTCGCGCAGTTTGCTGGCGCGTTAGCATATTAGCCGCGATGCCCGCATGCAGAAGCGCCGGCCGGCCTGCGTTTTCAGCTTCGCTTTGAAGGTTCCTTGCGGAAAACGCCACGAAAGAAGGCGCAGGCCGAGCGTGTCGTCAGCCGAGCCATGCAAACGAAGGCCGAGGAGCGGGTTGGACATGAGCAAGAGCAAGGGCCCCGGGCCGCGGTCCCGGGCGACACCCAGGGTGACCCGGCAGGGGTCGGACGGTCATCAACGCGGGCGACGACGACGACGCGTTTCGTCCGGGCGGGTTCACCTCAGCCATGGGCTTCTCGTACACGTCGTCCGCGGGGCGGCGGCGGGCGAACACGCAGTCGTCCCTCCGCAGGGACCGCAGCGCGTTGGTGGGAACGGCCCGTCCGTAACGGGACGCCAGCTCCTCGGGTCCGCCTCTCTCAGACCTCAGCAGACGGATGACGTCCTCTCGGGCCTGAGCGGGCACGCGCGCGCACGGACACACACGGTTTCCTTCTTTGCCGTCGAGATCGCGGGCGTTCGTTCCTTCAGACGACTCCCACCTGCACTTCGCCTTCCATGATTCCCAGCAGCTGGAGCAAATTCTTCTTGGACAACTTGACATTTGGGCTTTCCTGCTCAGACGTGCCGTCCTCCTCTCGTTGGACTTTGGCCTTCCTCTTCCTCGAAGGTTCTGCTGTCGTTTCCTCTTGCCGTCTGGCGCGGCCTTTGGATTTTGGCTTCTCGGATCCATCGTCTTGGCCCTCCATCGTGCCCTTCCTGGGTCGCGTGCTGACCTGCTGGATTCGCGATCAGAAAACGATCAGAAAGTCTTTCGCCAAAGGCACGACACGATCCAAGCCGCTCGAGCGCCGCGCGATAAACAACGTCGGCATCCCGAGCGTCCCGGGGCGGGCGATCGGGGGGCCGTCGGGGGCTTGTGCTGATGTTGTCGATGAAAGCGGCCGGTGACTCAGACTCCGAGAATCCTGCCGCTCGAGCGGCAGCAACCGCGTTAGTTATTAATAACTGGTCAGGGGCGCTTCTCCCGAGGAGCTATTCTTATTTTTATTTGTCCGTCCGCTCCTCAACACCAAACAACTTTGCTGTTTCCATGACGAGTTGATTGGCCCGGTTGTCCCGTTGCCGCCAATCATCAAGAAACATTTTTCAAACTCTGAACCCATTTGTTCGTTTCAGCTTCATCCTCGGCTTGTGCTACTTTCTCAGGATCTTGTTGCGAACTTTTGATGTCGCTGCAGACGTCACTTCCACCCTCCTCGAATTCTCGGTGTCCGTCAGAGGACAATCGGATAATTGTCCTTCATCTTACCTGCTTGTTGACGACCTCTTGGTCACATGTCAAAAAACGGTGCCGGTTGGTCTCGGTGTCAACGCAGCGGGAGGAAGTGTCGACGGCTCCTGATGTTTGCAGCGTCACCCGGCACGGACAAAGGTTTTGCCCCGCCCGTTGTCACCACAGCCACGAGCCCGTCCTGCTTTTTTCAGGCGGTCTTCACGGCTCGCAAGCAAGCTCTACTCGTATCTGCTTGAGAGAGCCGAGCCAGCCCGACAGCAAAGTTCCTGTGCGCGATGAATCTTTTTTTTCTTCTTGATGGCTTGTTGATCGAACTCTGCGTTGGACGTTGCCACGCAACGAGAGGACGCGAAAATGTTCCAAGGAGTTTTCCGACGGAGACGATGAGGACCGTACCTGCCAGTCAGTTGCCTTTTTATGCCAACGTTGTCTCCCCCTAATGGCCAGACAAAAAAAAAAAAAGACTGTTGTGACTTTCCTGTGATTCTTAATTCTGTTTATTGAGCATGATTAAAGCACAATTCGACACCCGTTCGTCCCACTTTGTGTAGCGCTCGTCCTCATTCGGGTCGCGGGTGAGCCCCTGTCTTTCCTCGCTGACTCTGAGGCAGAGCCGGCCGGGGCGCACCCCGGACCGGTCGCTGGCCAACGGTGGACTGGTCTCTCTCCGGTCAGTGTCACGTATATACAAGCGATCGTTCCCACTCGCGAGACTAGCATGTTGTCTTCGCAGGATACTGACGTCGGCGATGACAAATGTCAGCTTTCACCCAACGTTCGGAGGTCGGACAGGAAGTTTACATTCGTGACTCTTCCACGTGTCAGCTCAACAGCCCGAAATACAATTATAATATCCAGTACGGCCATAAAATTCGCTCTATGCGGTGTTTGCGTTACTCCTCGGGGTTGGAAAAGGTCGATGCGGCTGTCGGAATGGCAAAACCGAAACGCCAACGTCCTTTTATTGTGAAGTCGATGTGTTTGTTTTCCGGTAATGACGGTATTTGCACCGCTAACTTGCTTAGCGCATCCAAGCCGAAGTCGGGGGGTGGAAAGCCAACACAATCGAAGAAATGACCATCGAGAACGTGGACTAAACATGGCCCACAACGCAGGCCAGTTCTTACACGGTAAGCCCCGCCGGCCGCCACGCATTCAGTCGTCGCGTTCCCGCTGGACAATAGACGCGTTTGGTGCGCCGGTGTCACCTCGTCAGTCTCCACAAAATATGAGCGGCGGCGGAAAGCGAGCGGCCAAGTGGACGACGTTAGCCTCGCTCGTCTGCGCCTTATTCAGGCTCCAAAGCTGCCCGAGGCTCGGCCCGGAGGACGAGGACAGCAAACGGAGTCGGACCGGTTCTGTTCGGTGGACTGAAAAGAGCAAGGCGAGCTAGCAAGCGGAAGCTAGCGGCGCTGTGGCAGATTGGACTTGACGAGGCCTTCGCTCGCTTGTCTTTCGAGATAACGTTTCGGATGGAAACGCCTCGAACACCACCGAATCGGACTTTTGGCTTTGAATCACTTACCGCTACTCGACTTAGGCGTACGGTGTATGTGTTGAAAAAAAAGTGAATCGATGTACAACGAGAGCAGCATTGCAAGACTTAACTTTTACAGACCGTTGCGGTGACATATTTGCCCGTCGCAGATATGAACAAGCTTGTGACTCTTGCTTGTAAAATGGATGAAAATAAGAGCAATTCCTGGCCAAGGTCTTAATGCAAAGCGAATTGCTTCAACTTCGAAGAATGACTTCTTTAGCCATTTTCGGAAGGCAGGTATCGTTGGTAAGCTTGCTGAACACAGAAATGGACAGCATCTCACAATTCGTTCAAGTAATTCGAAAGCCAAGAGACTCGGTCCTCCCCCCCCCCCCCCAAAAAAAATAGTGGGGAAACAGATATGTGCTTTAATTTATAGCACTTAAACAGACATGACATTAAAAAACAAAAATCTGGGCTTCCCAGCTTTAAGCTGGCCGCCCCGCTACCTGACCTCAGAGGCAGAAGAAGATATTTAGCTGGAACTTAAAGGGAAATACGTGCCATCGTGTCGGTCCGGTACGAGCATCTTCGAGGACCGATCCCGAAATTTTGTGTCCGGGCCCATCGAGCAAGTTCCACCAAATTCAGTGGAAGCATCGGATGAAGACGCACTTCAAAGACGGCCATTCGATTGGCGCACAAAGTCAAGAGCGCCGTTCGTCGACCGCCAGTCGTTTGATCGCCGCGCGTTGTCATCCGGTGACGTGTTCATCAATTTGTGGGACTTAAACGTGTAAAACGCAGCCCACTCATCTCCTTCGGACGAGGCGGAATTATTGACGGGCGGTCGAAGGGTCCCTGAGAAATACTCGATGATTGAAGGTGGCGTTAGCGGGGAACTTTCCGGCACGGCGGGCGAACGCTTCTGAGGTTTGGGCTTCGGCGTCCCAGCTCGTTGCACTTTCACATCTGTCCTTTGCGATGATGATGATGATGATGTCTTTTTTTGTTGTTGTTTTTCTTTTGCATGTCCGCGAAGCTCTGGAAAGATCCGAAGCCGGCGGAGACGGCGGCTACAAGCACAAGTGGAGCTTCCCGTCGGGCGCCGGCGGAAAAGATGAGGACGAGCACTAGTAAGCGTCGGCGCCGCTCGCTTTGGTTGCGCGGCGGATCTGGTTGCCTTTCGGAACGTTGACGCGCGCTTGCCCCCTTAGCTCCGGCGTGATGACCGCGCAGGAGACGGACCAGCGAGCGTCCATGTCCTCGGACGCGAACAAGGTAAAGGTCCGGATCGGCCGCGTGTCTCCGTCGCCTTCCGTGCGATTTCCGTCTTCGAATTTCCGCTCCCCAAAGGTAGCGGCGGCAATGTGCCGCGGGGTGCTCATTCCCTGCCTTTTGATGGCGTCTCCTGAGGCGCTGTGGCTTTTTGGGGGGAGGGGGGGGTTGTCTTTTCGCCGGTGTCTCCACTTTGCTTGACGTGGGTCCTTCTCTCGAGCAGCGTCCCTCTAACATCGGCTTAGCGCACGCCGCGGCCACATCTCTCTCACGTGTGTATGTGCGTGCGCGCAGCCTCCGTCTTTGAGGCACTTCACCTCCGCTGACCCCCTGAGGACGTATGAAAAGCGCCCGAGCAACGTCGCCAGGCACAAAAGGCTCAGGTAGGGCTCCCGACCCGACGCCGGACCTTTTCGTCGGCTTAGCACGTGGCGTCCTTCCGGACGGCAGAAAAGTCCTCGACGACCGCTGAGCCCAACTCAAAGCAACGGGATCGGATGAATTGTCGCAGCGATGGTTGAAGCGAGCCCCGTTTTCTCCGTTACGGAAGGCTCGGCGAGTCGGCTCGACCTTCTGCCGCCCGGAAGTCCGTTCCGAGGCCGTGCCGAGAAGGTCCACGCAACCTTCGGCCAGTGCAACGCTATCCAGTGTCCTTGAGCGAGGCCGCCGGCCGTCTTTGCCTTCCCGCAGCTTCGTTCCGTCCTCCATCGCCGTAAGCGACTACTTCATCATCAGCCCCGCCCCTTCGCAAGGACTCGTCCTGCAGGGCCGCCATTTTCAGCACGCGCAGGTGACCTCTGCTCTTGGGAAGCCCGTCCAAAGGTGAGCGAGCCGCTTTCACGCCGGCGTACGTCCGTGCTGATGATGATGATGATGATGATGATGCTCGGCGCTTGACAAACCCCTGTTCTTGTTCCTGCGCAGGAACGGGTCGAGCGGCGGCACGCGGCGGCCGACGGAGGTGGACAACATCGTGCTGACGTGTGCCGACGAGCCAGGTTTGTTTGCATCGCCGACTTGCTGCGTGCGTCTGCAAGCGACGGAGCCCTTTCAAGTGTTCAGAATGACTTTGCGCTCTTTGACGATGACGCAACGCTAACGGCTCAACGTGCCCCCCTTTTTTTTTTTTTTTGGTGTCGACGGGGTTGGACTGAAATGTTTTTCCCGTCCGTTAAAATTGATGTTCCTGTGCGCGCTTCCAGACGCCGAGAGCGCCAACCTGAAACGTTTGGTCCAGCAGAAGAGGAAAGCGTCGGAGGTAAGAGCCAACCGGGGACAGGAGCGCTTCTCTTTCTCCTTGCCGAGTCCTCCCCGTTTTCATTTTCTTTGCGTCAACGGCCTCTTGCCCGAAAGAGGTCGGGGCGTTTCTCCTCTTCCCCGGTCACTGGTGCTTTCCGGCCTTTTTTTCTCTCAGACGGCGCCCATCTACCAGACGGCGTGCGGCAAGTGCAGCAAGCCGTGCGAGGACAGCAGCGAGTGTCGCCACTGCGGGAACAGTCCGGCGTGTCTGCCCCGTCAGCAGGCGCCCTCTCTCTTGCCCCCGTCGCCTCGAGCCCCCCTGCGATCTCAGCCCTGCGGCTTCTACAAGACCTCCCCCGGCGGCGGCGGCAGGCCCGCCCGCGCCGACGCCCC